CCAGTGCCTGAAGATCTCTCCCATCACCTGTTCAACTCCCTTATTTTATAGAATAGAAACTCAGGCCACCACAGTCACTCAGAACTGTAATCCCTGCACTTTGGGAGGCCAACGCAGGTGGATCACTTGAGTTCAGGAGTTGAATCTAGCCTGGGCAACATGGTGAAACCTTTTCTCTACAAAAAAATAAAACAATTAGCCAAGTGTGGTAGTACACACTTGTAGTCCCAGCTACTCTGGAGGCTGAGGTGGAAGGATTGTTTGGGCCTGGGAGGTGGATGTTGCAGTGAGCCATGATTGTGCCAGTGCACTCTAGCCTGGGTGATAGAGTGAGACCCTGTCTCAAAAAAAACAAAAACAAACAAAAAAAAAACGCTGAAGCCCAGAGAGGGAAGGGACTTGCTCTAGGTAACACAGGAAATCAGTCTCTCAAATTCTCATATACTTTTCTTCTTTTGAGACAGTCTTGCTCTGTCGCCCAGGCTGGAGTGCAGTGGCATGATCGCGGCTCACTGCAACCTCCGCTTCCTGTGTTCAAGCAACTCTCATCCCTCAGCCTCCCGAGTAGCTGGAATTACAGCCATGTGCTACTACTCCTAGCTAATTTTTATATTTTGAGTAGAGATGGGATTTCACCATGTTGGCCAGGCTGGTCTCGAACTCCTGACCTCAAAAGATCCACCCACCTCACCCTCCCAGAGCACTGGGATCACAGGCGTGAGCCACCGCACCCAGCCTCATGCACTCTTTGCCTTCTGCTCTACTGCCTTGTTTGACGTTGGACCCTTTCGAGAGGGCAGAGACTAGAGAGTAGAGATTAGGCCTTAACTCATGCCCTGGCAGCCAGTGAGCATGAATACATGTTTGCTGGTTACTTAAACAAAAGCACAAATATATGTTCCTTTTTGGGGGACAGCAGCCTCCTCTAGACCACCTGATTTATATGTGCTCTGCAGCATTTTGAAGCTCTGCTCAGCTGTCCCTCAGTGCTGCCAGTGCCAATCCCCCCTGACAGGCAGAGACCACTTAATGCCCTGGCACCTCAGATGGTGAAACCGCTGGAGCGTGAGGACTCAGAGGAATGTGGCTTTGCAGTTGTGTGTCACGGAGGCACTAAAAGGTGAAGTCTTCGGAACAGTAGTCGCTGTGCTGGGGGCTGGTGTGTGTTAGCGCTGGGTGTGCAGCAGCACCACGTACAGGTTCCTGCCCTGCAGAAGCCAGGTTGACATAGCTATGGTAACAGGGTGGTCTAAGGAGGGGTTCTGAAGTTGTGCAAGCCCAAGCTGGACCTTGACATACTGATTAGACTCAGGTCAGTCCTTGCTCTGCCATTCAGTCGGCGCATGCCTTGGTCCTAGCACATGCTGCGCACCATGTTTAGCAGTGGTTGAAGAGCCGCACTCTCTCCTGCCACGACCACGTTAGTTGCCTCCTCAGGACTTCCCGTGGCACAGCCCCCATCTCCCTGCATCAGAATTGCCTGGTTTGGGGTCTGCTTTGCCTTCCTCTCTATCTGTGAGGCTCTCAAGGACAGGGACCAGATCAGTTTTGGTCTCTGCTTTGTCCCCAGTGCCCAGCACTGGGCTGCCTGGCACATTAGTGTCTGGTTGTGCTTTGTGGAGAGCTGAACCTGGTGAGGTCAGGGTTCCACACAGCCACAGCATTCTCCCCCAACCTCCACAAGAACCCTGGGGCTTTTGGGCTTTGATTCATCCCCCTCCCCCACTCCCTCCCATCCTGCAGATTCTGCCAAAGTCCCTGGCTGGCCAAGTCCTGAAAGCTGGGGAGGGTGGTGGGAGGAGGAAGGTGAGACGAGATGGGCGGCTTAGCAGAGGGTGAGAAAGCCTCCTGCTGCCTGGCCGCAGGCACCACGGGAATGGTTCTGGCAGGAGCCGCCTGCTGGGCTGAGATCACCATGGAGACCTGGCTTAGAGAGGGTCACTGGCAGTGGCTAAGGGCCTGGGTTGGGGGTGGGGGTGCAGGGATTTATGCAGAGGCTCCCAGCCTGCCCCGGGGCCCTTGGAGGGAGCAGGGGAGGCTGGTGTTGGACAACATCGGTTTGCCAGTGATTTGGAGCAGCCCATCCCAAAGTCGCCTTCCCTTGTCACCCCAACAGAGGTTCTTTAGCTTGGCAACTGTTCTTCAACCGCAATAGAGTTGTCCTCTGGACAGATGCCCCCAGCCCTCTGGCTCAAGCAGTTACCCCAGATAAAATTGTTCTACTCCCTAATGGACACCCTTCTTGTCTCTGCAGCCTGTTTACCACCTGACTGTGGAGAGCTTGCATTCATCCCAACAGCAGCCCCTGCCCCAAGAGCTGCTTTTCTACCTATCACCCCACTGCAACACAGCTATCGCCCTCCCAGGCACACCGCTCCCCCTACGGCTACTATTCCATCCTGCCACTGCAGGAGACCTGACAGCTTAACAAAGATGCAGCTCTTCTCTCTCTAGAGCCTCTCTGCCTGCCACCTGGTCTGATCCACCAGGATAGGGTGCTGCCCTGCTTCTGCAGGAGCCCACCTGGTTCCCCTGGACCTTGGGGGAGTCCTGGCAAGTCCAGCCTCAGGACAAAAGTCGTCCCCGGGGCTGACTACCCAGCAGACAGCAGCTGAGGCTGAGCAGAATTTAAATGTGGCTTTGGTAGAAAGGGAAGCCAAGAAAGTACAAGGGAGGAGAGGCTTTTTGTCACCCGCCTGGTTCCTGCTGGTGTGGGGGAGGACGAATGGGCTCCTGAGGAACCTGAGGAGGCAGTTTCAGCACCCTCACCTCACCCCTTGATTCGGATGGAGACGGTCGCACACTGAGGGTGGGAGATGTGTGTCTCAGAGCTCTGAGAGGTGGACAGGATAATGGCTGGAGCTTTCAGGAATGCCTCAGCCCAGCCCTGTTCTTTGGGGGACCTTTTCACTCACCCTAGTAGAGCTGTGAATCCAGGGGGTCTAGCCACACTGGGGGTCTGGGTAGGGAAGTCAGATCCCCAGGGCCCCGCAAGCATAATGAGAACTGTCTGGGAAAAAGGGGTCCTTCCAATCTCGAGTGTCTGGCGATGGTAGGAACTGGGAACTTGGGAGTCTGAGCTTCAGTAAGGCAGGGTTAAGCCAAACACAGATGGCATTGCGTTGGGCAGCTTCTCTCTTCCTTCCCTGAGAAAGAATTCCTCCTCACCTCACCTCTCTAAGAAACAGAATGGCAATGGCAAGGGATGAGAAGAGGATTGGATTTAGAATAATTAAAAGCAGTGGTTCGGCCAGGTGCCATGGTTCACGCCTGTAATCCCAGGACTTGGGGAGGCCAAGATGGGTGGATCACCCGAGGTGAGGAGTTCAAGACCATTCAGCCTGATCAACATGGTGAAACTGTCTCTATGAAATATACAAAATTTCATATTTCATATGTTTCAAGTAGCTGGGATTATAGGCATACACCACCACGCCTGGCTGGTGGTGTATGCCTGTAATCCCAGCTACTTGAGAAGCTGAGGCAGGAGAATTGCTTGAACCTGGGAGGTGGAGGTTGCATTGAGTCCGAGATCGTGCCAGCCTGGGCAACAAGAGCAAAACTCTGTCTAAAAAAAAAAGCAGTGGTTCATACCTGTGCTGTGTGCTGAGGCCCTGTCCTCCTCATTATGTCATTCCTCAGAACACCCTAAATTGGAGGAGTTTCTAAACTCATCATGACATGAGTGGGGCAGGTTTGGAGAGCCCAACTGTCCCAGAAAAATAAGAATGAATAGTAAACAGTATAATTTATTACGCACTTAAGGACCAGGCTTCATCTGCCTTATACCACTGAATCTTCCCAACAAACCAATGGAGTAGTTCAGTTATCTTCTTTTTACAGATGGGCAAACTGAGGCTCACAGAAGTTCAACAGCATGCCCAAGGTCATAGAGCTATTAAAGGGTAGCACTGGTATTTGAACTCAGCAGTGTCTGATTCCAGAGCCCAAGCCCCCACTTTTTTTTTTTTTGAGATGGAGTTTCACTCTTGTTGCCCAGGCTGAAGTGCAATGGTGCGATCTCAGCTCACTGCAACCTCCGCCTACCAGGTTCAAGTGTTCTCCTACCTCAGCCTCCCTAGTAGCTGAGATTACAAGCATGAGCCACCACACTGGCTAATTTCATATTTTTAGTAGAGATGGGGCTTCTCCATATTGGTTAGGCTGGTTTCGAACTCCCAACCTCAGGTGATCCACCCGCCTTGGCCTCCCAAAGTGCTGGGATTACAGGCATGAGCCATTGTGCCCAGCCTAGACCCCAAACTCTTAACAAATTCCACTCCCAGCTCCTCACCCAGCACCTGCTTTATCCCTTGGTTTGGGGCTTGGATATGCATATTTTACAGATGAGGAAACTGGGCTCAGAGAAGGCAAGTCTAAGTTTTCGGGAGAAAGATCAATGTGGTTAGCTTCCCGCTGCCCCCAGTCCTGGGAAGAGCAGGGTGTGGGGGTCTCCCTCTTCACTTCCCTGATCTCAGAGCACAGCCTGTGCCTGCTGCTCACTCCTGCCTCTTCTCTTGTGTTTCTTTGCAGCTTTCAGAAAACCAACGCCAAGATCCCTCCCAGCGTCCACATCGTCCTCTGGCAGGATCGCCTGCCCCTCTGCCTCCCACCCTGCCCCCCTGCACCCCCTGCAGACCCATCTCCCTCCACCCCCTCCCGCCCATCTCCTCCACGCAGAAGCCGAAGGTGAGCCCTTTCTGCACAAAACCAGCAATTGTAAATACTTTTTAAAAATGTACAAAACTTAAAAACAAAACACAGTTTTAGAAAAAGAAAAAAAAAAAGAGAGCGAGAGAGCGAGCGTGTGCAAGAGGTTGCGAGCGGGGCCCCGAGGTGTCCAGAGCCCCTGCAAGTATGCACTGAGAAATTTATCTACAGGTCGTTTGACAAAAATGAACAATATCCTATTTATTGTATATACTGTTTTATTATAAATCGTGGATTGTATATTGCATTCTGTAAACCTGCTGTGGTCCCGTGGTGTGCAAATTCGCATGGTGGGGGGGAGGGAGAAGAACCTCTTGCGGGAGCTTTTTTTTTTCTTTCTTATTTTTCACTCTTTTGGGTTTTCTCTTCTGTTGTTGTTGTTGTTGTTTTCTGTTGGCAGGACACACCCAAAGATCCAAGTTTGTATTAAAAAGAAATGAAAAAAAGCAAAAAAAAAAAAACAAAAAAAACCTCGTGTCTTGTGAAAGGGGGAGTGAGGGTGGAGGGAGTAGAAGGGTCACTGCTGGGTTTTGTCACCAGCTACTGGTTCTCCAGAGGAGCTGAAATAACCTACATGTGTTCCTGGCCACAGAGTTCTCCCTTCTGCCTGAGATCTGGGTCACCCTTGCATCTGGGTTCTCCCCATTTCATCCCAGGCCCTGGGTCTCCCTGCCTCTGAGCTCCCCATTCTGCTGCCGAGGACATCCAGGTCCTTGATCATGCACTGGGTCCCAGGTCCAGGGATTCTGCCTCTTGGACCTTCATTGTGCACTAGGACCTGGGTGTCTGACTCTGAGACCCCATATTCTATCACAAGTCCAAGGTCTCCCCAAATCCTGGGTTTCCTCTCCTTGGGAGCCTCCATCATGGGCCAGAGCTTGGGGATCCTGCTCTGGACTCCCTTATTCCATCCAAGGTCCCGTGTCTCTGCCTCTAGTCCCTTTGTTTGTCCTGTGTCTTCCTGGCCTTTGGGCCTCACAGTTCTACTCTGGTTCAAGGACACCTCTCTTGGCAACATTCATTCTGTCCTAAGTCTGAGAACCCTCGTGGGGCCTCCCTTTCCCACTAGGAATGCAGTGCCCCCGTCTGTGTATCTCCCATTTGCCCCAGGTCATGAGTCTTCTCTGCCTCCACGTCCCTCATTTTACTCCAGTGCACCCACATCTGCTTATGCAGAACTTGGGATATTACCAGGCTGGTCACCCCAGTGTTAGTCCACCCTCCCCTTTCTGTCTACCCTGAACTCCAAATGCTGGGTCTTTGTTTCCTCCCAGCTTTGGTAAACTTTGGAAAAAGAAAACTCCTAACTGTGCCTGTGTCTGGTGGGCCAAGAAGAGCTAAGCTGTTTACTGATTCCTGACTTTGGGGCCTTTTGGCTGCCTTTGCCCAAATAATGCCCATTCTGACCTTCCTGGTCTTTGGGAAGCAGTTTTTCCCATAGACCCATTATATGTTTAAGTTCTACTGAGTGTGGCTTTGTGTCCCTCCTTAATGAAGCTCAGGGAGACACCAAGGGATAGTGCCACAGGGCCTGCCCTCCCTGACCCAGCCATCGAGGCCCTGGCCTCAGGAGAGTCAGAGGAGCCCGTGGTCTGAAGGGGGATACACACCCCCACCTTCTGGACACAGCTGTCTGGAAGAAGGGGCAGGAGGACTCAGGTCACAGTCCCCTGAAACTGTAGCCTCTGTACTGGATGTAAAAGGCTCATCCACCCACCAAGCTCCCTCCTGGCATTCCCCAGACTCAGAGATGAAGACATTGTCCTGCACTTCCTGACGGCTGACGGGGAAGACACTGCTACACTCAAGCCATCCATGCAGTATAGAGCTGGAAGTGGGGGCAAGAAGTAGTGAGGCCCTCTAAGGGTTAGGGAGGAGGGCTACCCTAAGGAGAAAGTTTCACAGAGCCAAGCCTGAGCTAGGCAGAAAAGTGAGGGAGTTCCTGGAGGAGGGAGAGGCTGTGCAAAGGCCCAGAGATGTGAGCAGGCAGGAGTCGCACGCAGTCAGGTCTGGTGGGTACACACTGTTTAGGGAGGGGCCTTTAACAAGGTCACTCTGGGTAGGGTGGAGGCTGGTTGGAGTGGGTAAGTGGCTTCAGAGAAAGCAGTGGGTGAGGCTGGGATAGGCCAACCCAAGAGAAGCCTGTGTTCAGCCCCAAGAATCACCAGCAGGAAGAAAATGCCTGTGTTCAGTGGCTGCTGAGGAAGCAGAAGAGACTCGGGAAGGCTGCCCAAATAGGGCAGGCTGGGCCTAGTTGGCTTGAAGGGAATCAGAGTGGGGCCTGTGAGTCCAGCTGAGGACTCAGAGGGTTGGCGGCCCAGAAGAGGTTTCAGGGAAGGAAGGGGACAGTGGGGGATTGCTTAGTGGAAGGCATTGGGGCTCAGTAAGAGATGGGTCTTGAAAGGAGGAGGAAGGACAGTGAAGGGTTGTGGGCCCCAGGGCTCTGGAACTGGGGCAGGGAAAGGAGACCCAGGAAGGAAATGGGAGTTTGACAAGGTGATTACAGCCCTGTGAAGTGGCCCCTTAACTTGAAGGGAAGATGGGGGTTCACTGTAAAGAGAGGGGCATAGGGAGAGGGAAGCGATGGGAGGGAGGCTTGGTGAGAACAGGGGCTTTGGGAGATAGAAAGGGAGGAGCAGCAAGGGAATGGGCACTCAGCGAGGGGCGGGGTTTCAGCCTAGGGTCTGCTGTTTAGTAAGGGGTGAGCCTGGCTGTCCATGGTGTATTTTGGAGACCGAACTCAGGAGATGGACCAGGGCCTCTGGGATCGAAGGTTCTCTGTCCCCTTAGGCAAGGGCAGCAGATACCCTGCACAGTGTATGGTGCAGGTTTGGGGCACACCCTGTTTTGATCTGTTCTTTTCAGAGGTCAGGGCCCTACCACCACCCCAGTGCCACATCTGATCCCAGAATGCATCAAGGCAGTGTGGCTCTCAGATACGTGGGTTTCACCATCATTTGTTAAACACTTCCCTGAGGTGTTCATTCTTCAGAACAATCCTTGAGGTACAAAAAGATGCTCACTTGATTCATAGATGTGAAGACGGGTTCCCAGACACAGAGTAAGGGACTGGTCCAAGCTCACATGGGAAGTGGCAGAAGTAGGTTGGCCTAGACTCTATGCCCTTTATTTTTTCCCCCCTTTTTGTACTTTTATTTCTGCTTTTTAGAGATGGTGTCTTGCCATGTTCCCCAGGCTGGTCTTAAACCCCTGACCTCAAGCAGTTCTCCCACTCTGCCCTCCCAAAGTGCTGGGATTGCAGGTGGAGCCACTATGCCCAGCCTTTTTCTTTTCTTTTTAAAAAATTTTTTCCCTTGCTTTTTCTCTGCTCCCCCTTCCCCTGAGATGTAGTCTTGCTCTGTCACCCAGGCTGGAGTGCAGTGATGCAATCTCGGCTCACTACAACCTCCAGCTCCCAGGTTGAAGCAATTATCCTGCCTCAGCCTCCCGAGTAGCTGGGACTACAGGTGCCTGCCACCATACCTGGCAAATTTTTGTTTTGTTTTTGTTTTTGTTTTGAGACAGAGTTTTCTTTCTTGTCCAGGCTGGAGTGCAATGATACAATCACTGCACACTGCAACCTCTGCCTCCCAGGTTGAAGCGATTCTCCTACCTCAGCCTCCCAAGTGGCTGGGATTACAGGCATGCACCAACACATGTGGCTAATTTTGTATTTTTAGTAGAGAAGGGGTTTCTCCATGTTGGTCAGGCTGGTCTCGAGCTCCCAACCTCAGGTGATCCACCTGCCTCGGCCTCCCAAAGTGCTGGGTTTATAGGTGTGAGCCACCCACCACGCCTGGCCTCCCTTGCTTTTTCACAACAGTTTTAAGGGGGGAAGAATCTGCTTATAAAATCCAAAAATTGAGCCGGGCACGGTGGCTCACGCCTGTAATCCCAGCACTTTGGGAGGCCGAGGTAGGTGGATCACAAGGTCAAGAGATCGAGACCATCCTGGTCAACATGGTGAAACCCCGTCTCTACTAAAAATACAAAAAATTAGCTGGGCATGGTGGCACATGCCTGTAATCCCAGCTACTCGGGAGGCTGAGGCAGGAGAATTGCCTGAACCCAGGAGACGGAGGTTGTGGTGAGCCGAGATCGTGCCATTGCACTCCAGCCTGGGTAACAAGAGCGAAATTCCATCTCAAAAAATAAAAATAAAAAAATTAATCTATTCTATAATTTAAAAAATTTAATGATACATAACAGCCATATACACACACACACACACACACACACACACACGGCACTTACTATATGTCAGCTGTTCTAAATGCTTTGCATATATATTAATGAATTTGGTTCCACCAGAATCCTATGAGGCTTCATTGTAATGACTATCCCCATTTTACAGACAGGAGACTCAAGTGCAGAGAGCTAATTTATGAAGACCACTCAGTGAGTATGTTCAAACTAGACCTTGCTTAGGTGGTGACACCAGAGTTCAGACCAAGCAGCCTGGCTCAGAAGTCTGTGCTTCCCTGTACAGTTAAAAGTGAAAACCCGAGGCTGGGTGCGGTGGCTCAAGCCTGTAATCCCAGCACTTTGGGAGGCCGAGGCGGGTGGATCACGAGGTCAAGAGATCGAGACCATCCTGGTCAACATGGTGAAACCCCGTCTCTACTAAAAATACAAAAAATTAGCTGGGCATGGTGGCGCGTGCCTGTAATCCCAGCTACTCAGGAGGCTGAGGCAGGAGAATTGCCTGAACCCAGGAGGCAGAGGTTGCAGTGAGCTGAGATCGTGCCATTGCACTCCAGCCTGGGTAACGAGCGAAACTCCGTCTCACACAAAAAAAGTGAAAACCCTGGCCAGATGCAGTGACTCATACCTGTAATCCCAGCACTTTGGGAGGCTGAGGTGGGTGGATCACCTGAGGTCAGGGGTTTGAGACCAGCCTGGCCAACATGACGAAACTCAGTCTCTACTGAAAATACAAAAATTAGCTGGGCACAAGGTGGCAGGTGCCTGTAATCCCAGCTACTTGGGAGGCTGAGGCAGGAGAATTGCTTGAACCTGGGAGTCAGAGGTTGCAGTGAGCGGAGATCGCCCCATTGCACTCCAGCCTGGGAGACAAGAGTGAAACTGTCTCAAAAAAAAAAAAAGTGAAAATCCTTGGGTGCGGTGGTGCACACCTGTGGTTTCAGCTCCTCGGGAGGCTGAGGCAGGAGAGTAATTTGACCCGAGAGGCACAGGTTGCAGTGGGCCGAGATCTCACCACTGCACTCCAGCCTACGTGACAGATCGATCTCAACAGAAAAAAAAAGGTGGGCCAGGCGCAGCGGCTCTTGCTTGTAATCCCAGCACTTTGGGAGGCTGAGGTGGGCAGATCATGAGATCAGGAGTTCAAGACCAGCCTGGCCAACACAGTGAAACCCAGTGTCTACTAAACATACAAAAATTAACTGGGTGTGGTGGTTTGCACTTTTAATCCCAGCTACACAAGAGGCTGAGGTAGCAGAATCGCTTGAACCCAGGAGGCAGAAGTTAGAGTGAGCCGAGATTGCACCACTGCACTCCAGCCTGGGTGACAGAGCTAGACTCCATCCCAAAAAAAAAGGTGAAAATCCTCTCTACTCCCATCCCTGGCAATAACCCCTGTGTCAACATTTTTTAGTCTCTTCATCTACATAGGGGTTCTAGGGGTTCTAGATCCTAGAAAGGAATTGCCTGGAGAGCTTCAAAATGCTGATGTCCAGGTCTTACCCCAAAATATTCCGATTTTATGGGTCTGGGGTGGGGCCTGGGCATGGGGATTTTTGAAAGCTTCTTGCATGGTTCCAATGCGCAGCCCACTGGAGAACCTCTAAGCTGTTGAGCTGAGTGTCACACACACACCTGTATTTAGTGTGCTGTCCTAGGTGTGCATACGATATTTTCTTGTATGTGCACTGTGCTATCCATTCACGTTTTTCACTGAATGGCTGTCAATTACTGTGGGTTCTCTGAGAAACCTGGTATGAACATATTCATTCAACTATTGCTTTTTTGTTGTTTGTTTTTGTTTTTAGAGACAGGGTTTCACCATGTTGGACAGGCTAGTCTCAAACTCCTGACCTCTGGTGATCCACCCACCTCAGCCTCCCAAAGTGCTGGGACTATAGGCGTGGGCCACCATCCCCGGCCCATTCAAACATTTCTTAAACATCTATAAATTACCAGGCACCGTTGAAGGCACTTGGGGACTCAAAAGTGAGCAGGACAGGCAGGGACCCTGCCTTTAAGTGTCTAGTCTGCTGGAATTGACAAATTTAATCATGTGTTTTTCCCTGTGAGTGGCGGGGTTCGAGCCCCTCAAGGGTTGCTGAGGGGGAAATATAAGGGGTGGATATCTGACCAGCAGAGCTTAGGCCGGGGAGAGACTTCTGGTATGGCTTTGTATGCTGGGTCTTCTGGCCCTGTGTGGATGGGATTAAGAGAGGGAGGCCCCGAGCATGTTACTGGGCTTGAATGAGTGTGGCTGGCTGTGTAGCATGTGTGTAAAGGTGTGCATGATTTGGGTCTGTGAAATGTGGACGGTGGAGGGGGGGAAAGGGGTGTTTAAGGGGAGGGCTGTGTACTAGGTAGGCACTAGCTCAGTGCGTCATGCAGATGCGCACATGCACATACACGTGTCCACACACACACAGCCAGCTGTGAGGAGGAGGCTGGTTTCCAGTCCCAGGGCCAGGAGAACTCTGCTTTGGGTATGTGGGGGAGGCACAGCTGGGGCTGCAAAGTCTAGAGTGGGAGGGAGGGAGAAAGGAAGGGAGGCTGGGGAGCTGCATCCTTGATCTCTTCTGTTTCTGCAGTTCCGGACGCGGAGCTCTGGGTCTCTGTGTGCCTCTGAGTCTCCCTCTCTCTAATGTCCGGATCTTGGCATCTCTGTGACTCTTCTCCGTCTTGGGCTTTGAGGCTGATCACATGACTGGATCTCCACCTCTCCAGCCTGCTTGGCTGTGTCTCCCTCCATGTCTCTGTCTCTGCCTCCATGTCTGCCTCTGCCTCCGCGTCCTTCCCTGTCCTTGCCAGGTGGGGGGAGGGGGCCCAGTGCTCAGGGAGCAGGTGTCGGCTCACTCAGGCAGCAGGGAGTGAAGCCGAGGAGGGCAAAGAGCCAGCAGCCCCTGGACACACAGCCACACTCCTGGAGACTCGGGCGCTCACAGGAACACATAGTGACGTGCCTGGAGAGAGGGGCTCCTGAGGGCACTCACAGGGACAAAAGTCCACACACAACCACACCCCAAAACACACATGGATGCCAGACACAGATATCCACGGGCCTCAACACACAGACGTTTGCGTAGATACAAAGGCGCACACACAGATGCTCATCCAGGCACACGCGGACATCCAGAGTTGCAGACACACCCGGGGCGTTCCTCCAGGGGAAAGCCCAGAACCATGGACACGCACATTCACACACACCCTCAGGCGCATACAGACACAGATACAGAGGCACAGGTATGTTCAGTTAACAGTGGCAGTCACACTCGGGGCCATGCACTGGAGGCTGAGGCGGATGAGCACAGACACAGACCCTCCAGGACAATCGGAGACCAACATAAAGGCACAGCAGGCCCGCCGAGGGACCCACAGAGGAGCACACCCAGGCAAGGGCAAAACGTCTTGGGGACACACTCCTCCCTCGGGCCTCACTCTGGAGCACCTGGGGACACGCCCATGGGCGGCTGCGCTGGCGGCAGGACGCCCGAGCGCACCTGGCGCCCCAGGCTCTCCCTTAGGCGCCCGGGCCGAGTGTGCGTGCGTGCCCGTGCGCGCCCGTGCGCGCCGCCACCTGTGGGAGGAGAGGTGCGCGCTGCGCCCGGGGCTGCCAGGCTGGCGCGGCGCGGCGGGAGCTGTTGCCATGGCGCGCGGAGCGCGGCCGCATACTAATGGGGTGGCCATGGGCGCTGCCCCCACAGCTGCCCCCCTGCCGGCCGGGTTCCCTCCTCCAACTCCTGCCTCCGGCTCCAGCCAAGTCACCCCGGGGGCTGGCACCCCGGCCCACGCACCCCACTCGGAGTGCCTGAGCCCCTTGCTGGAGGCCTGGGGGCCCTTGCCTCCCCTCTACCCGAAGAGACGTCCCAGGCCCGGCAAAGGGCGGCCCTGGGGCCGGGGAAGGCGAGGGCAAGGGCCCGAACGCTGCGGGGGGCTGCCTGGGGCTGCCTGGCCTGGGCTCAGGCACCGAGCGGGCACGGCAGCTGGGAGCGCAGGTGCTGCCCTGGAAAAGGGTGGCTGTCCTGAGAGGGGGCGGGATAGGGGAAATAAAGGGGGAATTTAACCCTTCCTTCCCCCGGCTTGGCTGGGGAGGGAAGAGGCCTTGACCAGGCCCTGTGCCATCTGCCTCCAGCATCTCTCCAGTCCCTGTTGTAGCCGCTCTGAGGGTCCCTATCCCTCAGGACCTGCTCTTCATCACTCCAGGCTCTAAAGTGACTGGTGAAGTTATGGGTGTGTGAAGTGACCCAGGACTAGGTGGAGGGGGTGGTGGCACCTGAAGGGTTAACACCTCCTCATACCTTGATTCCAGTCCCAGAACTGCCCTGACCCCCTACCCCCTCAGTCCCGCTGTGTTAATTGGCTCTGTGGGGCAGGCCTTCCTGGCGTGGGGGGAGCCAGCAGAGGGTTTTGCAGGTAGAGGCAGTGGGAGGGGGCCTAATAGAGGGGGGAGCCAGGCCGTTGCTTAGCAACCCCACAGCTGTCTGTTGACCTAGAAGAAGCTGCGCCTTCTTGACACAGCTGGTGTTTACATGTAACTGAGGCTCTGGCTTAGCGCTTGCTTGGAGGAAAGCTGAGGCAGGGCCCTCGTGGCAGCCTGGCCCCAGCCCCCGGCTGTCATGGGCTCCCTGCCTGCCTGCCCTCTTTGCTTCAGCTCCCACCTCAAGTCCAACAGAGAAAGAGTGGGAGAGCAGGTCTCAGGGCTGCAGGCTTTGGGGCTGGGAAAAGTTGCTGTACACACACACACACACACACACACACACACAATGCCTGAGGCCTTCCACACAGAAATGGTGGGAGACTAGGAAAAGTAGGGGCAGATTCCAACCCACATGGAAAGCACCAACACACAGAGGGACACATGGCCCTACAAACCTGAAAAATCAAACTGACCTGAGCATGCCACACAGGCACGGAGTTGCTGCAGACATAATGACATCCAGGCAGACAGACACACAAACATGCAGAAACATCATCGAAACACTGACACACAGATGCACCTGCAGACACCTCCATTCACAGGACAAACAGGCACTGACCATCTGACAGAGACACACACTCGAGCACACTGACACACAGAAACCCCACATGGTGACACCGGCAACTCCCGCACGAACACATCCATCCCTGCTAGTGTCTGCAGGCCTGCACAATGAAAGGCAGAAACCCACATACAGAGTCATCCATGTGCACACACAAGAACACAGAGAAACACACAATGGACCCAACTTGCACTGATTGACCACAATGGCCAAGGCAGGCAGTCACTGACACCACTGATGCAGGCATGTGGAGAGGCACAGGTCCCCAGAGGACTACGGGCCCTGACATGCCCCACCTGCACCCGCACAAGTACCCACAGCACAAATATGTGCCAGCCTGGGGTGTGGTGTGGGCAGAGCTGAGACTCCTCCCTACTCACTAGCTCTTCATGGGAACAGATGTGCCCTGGGGTCAGAGGGCCCTAGTGGCCCCAGAACCAGAGCCCAGTGAAGCCGTGTCTGGCCTGGACTGCCTCCCTAACCCTCAGCCTTAGGGAGGAGACATCACCTTTTCCCTGAGAGCCCCTGGTCTGAAGGAGACAGAGCTCTGTCCCTTGTGCCAGAAGAGGCACAGACCTCCCCCATGGAGCTCCAGTCTGATGGAGTCCATATCTCTTTGCCAGGCAGACAGACACACAGACACACACAGCTCCTGGGGGGGTTCTTGAGGGATTCCTGAAAGAGGTGAGCCTGGAGCCTGGCTTTGGAGCCCAAGAGGAAAGGGGGAAGGGTGTGTACTGAGGAGGGCCTCTCTTCCTTCCCCCATACCCCACCCCCTCATCCAGCAGTTCCTCCTCCCCCCAGGGCCCAAGGGGCCGACTGGGGCCCCACAGTCCCATCAGCCCAAGCAGTGAGCAGAAGGAGGAGAGCGGATATTTTTAGCTTCTCTGCCACTGACATTTCGCAGCAGGCGACCTGGGGTGAAGCTGAGTGAGTGCTGAAGGCTGGGAGAAGCCAACAGTGCCTTCCTACCCCCTGCACAAGCACACACAACTGTGCATGCACACAGTTGTATGCAATGCTCACAGACGTGGCTCAGCTTCAGGTACACAGTCACACGCCTAGACACACGTGCCCCGTGCACACACTTGGCTCATAGGCCACTTGCGCTAGAAACCTCACACACCTGGGCACAAAAAATGTATCCATCCACACACCCAGACACACACATGATTCATACACATAATACATTTCGCACACCCTGACAAGCATGACCACTCTCATTCATTATTCATTGGAGAAATATATATCAAGTGCCTACTAAGTGTTGGGCCTTATTCTGGATACTAGAAATACAGTGAGCAAAACAGATAAAAAATCTCAGTCCTCACAGATTTCGCATTCTGACAGGGGAAGTTTGGCAATAAACACAAAATAAACTATAGCCTCAAGAACCACACATATAGGCCAGGCATGGTGGCTCGGGCTTGTAATCCTAGCATTTTGGGAGGTCGAGGTGGGCAGATCACTTGAGGCCAGGAGTTCAAGACCAGCCTGGCCAACATGGAAAAACCCCGTCTCTACTAAAAATACAAAAATTAGCCAGGCATGGTGGCACACATCTGTAATCCCAGCTACTTGGGAGGCTGAGGCACGAGAATCTCTTGAACTTGGGAGATGGAGGTTGCAGTAAGCCGGGATCCTGCCACTGCACTCCAGTCTGGGAAACGAGAGTGAAACTCCTTCTCAAAAAGAACTACACAGTGGCTGGGCATGGTGGGAGGTGGAGGTGGGCGGACCACAAGGTCAAGAGATCGAGACCATCCCAACCAACATGGTGAAACTCAGTCTCTACTAAAAATACAAAAATTAGCTGGACGTGGTGGCACGTGCCAGTAGTCCCGGCTACTCGGGAGGTTGAGGCAGGAGAACCACTTGAACCCGGGAGGCGGAGGTTGCAGTGAGCCGAGATTGCGGCACTGCACTCCAGCCTGGGCGACAGAGCAAGACTCGGTCTCAAAAAAACAAAAACAAAAACAGGCAAGCGAAAAAGAACCCCACATATAGTATCCCCCAAAATACACAACCATATATGGGAACAGCTCCCTAACATTCACTGCTTCACAAATACACACGACTACACACACAATCTACAGGCAAGACTCAGATAACTCCACACATAAGCCTCAAGACAATCACAAATGTGTACGCATCTACACATATATGCAGTTATACATTTAACATGTAAATACTCATGCAGTTCAATCACATGATATGCATTCATCCAGACACACGCAACACACACACAATTGTCCATAGCTATACTGTTCACCTGCCTACATACACAGGCTACAGCCTCCACAAGAACATGTAAGTGCCGGTTCACACAAATCCCTCCACACATACACAACCACTCCTGCCGTCACAGACACACATTCCTGCAGTCCTTCCCCTCCCCCCACCTGGAGTCCCAGCTTGTCTGCCACATGGTCATGTCCATAGGTATACAGAGTCCTAGGATACTCACAACGTCACGCACATTCTCAACAACCCTGCTCCAAAGAGAGCACACACCCTAAGTCAACGCATGCCCAGGTTCATACCCCATCTGCACCTGCAATCCCCTCCCTCCTTTTCCCATGAGGGCAGTTCGGTCACTGCACCTGACACTTGCACCCAGAATACTGTCCCCAGGGACTCCAATGTAGCTGCCCTCGGAGGGGTTGATCCCAGACCTGAGAGGAGCCCTGGGGTCCCTATCCCAAGGCCCCAAGAGGCAGGACTCTGAGCTCAGAGCTCACCCCTGTGCCCAGGCTGGAGGTGGAGGTAAAGGGGAGTCTGTGCCTCTCAGCTCTGCCACCAACCCTCCCCTTGCTCTTCTCTCCTCCTTCCTCTCTTCTCAAATTCCTTTCCTTCTGTTTCTCTGTCTCCCCATCCCACCTTTACCTCTCCAATAGCCCTTGGCCAAAAACCAAGCTGTGTTCTCTTCCAGTTTCTGCTAGAGGGTATTGAGGCCCTGTGAAAAACAGATGGGCTAACAGGCAGACAGACATATCACTTGGGCAACAACAACAACAAAAACGAGGTCATTGTCGGCCGGGCTGGGTGGCTCACGCCTGTAATCCCTGCACTTGGGAGGCCGAGGCGGGTGGATCACGAGGTCAAGAGATGGAGACCATCCTGGCCAACGCAATGAAAGCCCGCCTCCACTAAAATACAAAAATTAGCTGGGCATGGTGGCGTGCGCCTGTAGTCCCAGATACTCAGGAGGCTGAGGCAGGAGAATTGCTTGAACCCGGGAGGCAGAGGTTGCAGTGAGCCAAGATCACACCACTGCACTCCAGCCTGGTGCCTGGCAACAGAGCAAGACTCTGTTTCAAAAAAAAATAAAATAAAAAAATAAAAATGTTTTAAATAAAAAGAGGTCATTGTTATATCCTGAAGACCTGAGAGGGAGAAAGAGCTAAATGGACCAAGGGAAAGATAGGACTAAGTAGCCTGTGGGCCAACACGCACAGCTAGAAGGAGCCCCGGCTTCCAGTCTTGGTTCTGCTGTGTGACCCTGTATCAGTTGCTGCTCCTCTCTGGGCCACTTCTGCCTCTGTACATACAGGGAGTTTCAGTAGGTGCTTTTTGAGGCAACTGGACTCTCAAGGACCCTGCAGCAGTTGTATAAACAGGGAGAGGGGCTAGGAGCCTTGAGGGTCTGGTTGGAACCATAAAAGCCCCTCCTCAGGGGCTCTCTACAGCCTCTTCTCCACCTCAGGCCTGGACTCTAGTGTAGGTTGAAGCACCAGAGGCCAATAGCACCCCCTGCCCACAACATGCATAAACACATGTGCTCCTCCAAGACTCAGCCACTTCCTTTGCCCTCTCTGGACCTCAGTATCCAGCCTGGTGCATTTAGGGGATCAGGTTTGGGCTCTGTGCCTGTGAGCCAGTCTATGTGTGCACTGTCTGTCTGTCTGTCTGTCTGCCAGCAGCCTTCAGGCGCCAGGAGGGGAGGCAGCAGTGGAAGGTGGGGGCAGGGAAGGAGGTAGCGTTGACAAGTTCCAATGTCTGGCTTTCCCTCCTGGAAACCCCAAGATGGGGCTGGCCCCCCCTTCCCTTCCTGTCTCTCTCGCTCAAGCACGTCCCTTCTAAGAGCCCCTCTCTGCAGACACCCCCAGTGGAACCAAGCCCAGATTTGCTGCCAAGAAGGCCGACATTTCTTAGACTTGCCACGTTAAAGGGGCCTGCACAGGCACGCACTCAAATCCCCCCCTCCATGTCCTCCGCCTGTGCACATTCAGGCGACCCAAAACACACAAAGACACGGTTGGACACAGCGGCCACCTGTGCACACAGGAGGCAGCACATGGAGCGCATCTGACCCCGGGCTCACAGACAAGTACAAACACAGCCATGGACTCCCTCCGCCCTCCTCCATTCAGCCTGCCACAGACCCAAGCAGGCAGTTTCCAGCACACCGTGCTCACAGACACACACAAGCGCAGTCACACGCAGGGCCTTGCCACACAGAGGAACAAGTGCAAACCTGTAGCACAGCACCGTCACCATCACCAGCGCCGCCGCCGCCACCGCCCTGTGTAAATGCAACCACAGAAACACAATGCCTCTGCCGCCTGTTCCCTGTACACACAGCCAAGCACACACAGTCACACAGTGTTCCCCTGAGTCACTCTCAACAACGACACAGACAAAGTCTGTTGGGCACAGAGGCGCCCATTCCCACCCTCTGGACATTTGGACTAGCCCACACTACCAGAACAGTGCCTTCCTGGGCACACATGAGACACGCACAAAATCCCAGCCACCTGCAGCGTTCCCTTCTGCACACACACTGCCCCTTGTGCACACACAGACAAGCCCACACCCACAGTTATGCTGTTATCCTCTTGTACACCATAAAATCACAGGGGCTCCCAGCATACCAGACGTGACATACACAAACTCAGGGACACATACCGACTCTCTTGTGCATACACGGATTTATTGGCACTGACGTGGTGCCCATCCGCTGCCATGTGCATACACTGCTAGATCCCAAGTGTCTCTGTACATAGGCCCGAGGTCAAACTCGGGGTATACAGCTTTCCTTTGTGCTTACACAGACACACAGGGGCCCCCTGTGTTGGCACAGAACCACACACAAAGCATCATCACTTGTGCACACTGAGGCAAACACAGACTCACAAATCACCCCACCATGCTCTTCCATGCACACATGTATGTGTGTGCACACTCCCACGGACAGACCCAGCTCTTGGAAACTCGCTCTCAGACACTGCAGCCCCCTGGCCCCCAACCCAAGCTTTCTGCCTCCCTCCCTTGACGGGTGAGGGTGGGGAAGGGCTGGGAAGGCTGGGGGCTGGCTCAGCCCTTGTTCCCTCCCTCCACCGGCTGGCTCGCTCCCTCCTGTCTGGCAGAGTCAGCCAGCCAGCCCAGCCCCGGCTCCAGCAGCCCTGACTGCTCTGGGCAAACTCTCGGCGGGTTGGTCTCGGCTGATGCCGCATCAGCAGCAGCAGCAGCAGCAGGGGCGAGAAGGCTGAGGGTGGCTGCCAACGTGGCAGACGGCGGGCAGGGCGGCAGGAAGGAAGCTGGGCCCGTTCTGCGCCCACTCACTGGGGGAGACAAAACCAAAGGGGCTGGATGAGCAAGCAAGGCAGCTGGGCAGGGGACCTCGCGCACAGCCTGGCTCTAGGCCCACACTGGCCCAAGCCTCATGTGGTGACCTTGGGCACTTGCTCCCCTTCTCTGGTTCCACTTCCTCCTTCAGCAAGTGAATGGACTGGACATTTCCTCCAGCTCCAAATCCTTGTATCCAATTCAGTGCTCTGTGGCCTCCGGCTAGTCCCTTCCCCTCTGGAAAAAATTCTTCACCTCTGTATGTCTACCACCCTTGACAAAGGGTTTCAATCTGCAAAATTAGCACCATTTCATAAATAAGAAAACTAAGGTTCAGAGAGGTCAAACGGTCCACCTGAGGTTACCCAGCAAGAGAGTAACAGAGCTGGAACAAGACCTCAGGGCTCCTGCTTTAGTCTCCAGAATCACTGCTGCCTCCCCTCTCCTCCAGCCTGTGCCGAAGGAGGGTCCCATGCCCTGACTCACCCTTCAGGGTTGTCTGCCCACCCTAGCTCCCAGCCCTGGGCCCCACTAAAGCCACCTGGCTCTGCCCTGGGGAGTCAGGGTGCAAAGGCCAGACAGGCCTCCCACCAGCATTCCAGCTGCCACTGGGAGCACAGCTGTCAGCAGGGCCACGAGAGCCAAAAGCTGCCTCCCCAGCAGGCCCACATAATTGGTACATTGTCAGCTCAAGAACGGAACTGCTGTGGGATCTTGGGCAGTCAGGCCTCAGTTTCTTCATCTGGCTGGCAGTCGTGGATCAGAGGAGATGATTTCCAAGGGCCCCTTCAGCTTGGAGTGTTCCTAAAGCATGACCGAGGGAGGAGACAGCTGTGCCAAAGTCCCCAGCCAGCCACAGCTGTGCTTCAGGTATCCAGAGCCCCGGAATTGGGTCCCTGTCTCACCTTTAGGTTGGGGTGGCATCTGTGTCCTCTCTGAGGCCCCACAAAAGGCAGGGGCTTGGGGAGAGTTTGCAGGCTGGACAGATAGACACACAGATGTAGGAACAAAGGTCTAGAGGAGAGAAGGGAAAAAAGGTCTTCAACCTGTGCCGAAGGAGGGCGCAAAGACAGAAGACAGAGGGAGGCCCCCACGCCCTTCCTTTGTTTCTTCCGCCACCCTCTCCTGAGGCTCACTGTGCCCAACCCCACAGGGCTCAGTCTGTGGGAAGGACAAATGTGGGACAGTCACAGGCGGGTGGAGCATGCTGGGGGATCAGCCCGGGGACTGCGGAGGAGGCCCAGCTGCTCTGTGGGGGTGAAGTAAAGGCTCTGGGCGAGGCATCACAGGTATTGAGCTCAGGTTTCCAGGAAGAGGAAGCGTTTGCCTGTATGTGCAGCGATTACCCCCATTTTACAGATGGGGAAATCAATGCTCAGAGGTAGAGAAACAGAGCCAGGCAGGCCTTGTACCCAAGCCTGCTTGACTGCAAAGCCAGTGTTTTTGTGCTATGCCACGCTGCCTCCCAAAGGAGTGCATTGCTAATGGTGGCATTTCAGATGTAGTGACAGTGCACAGAGAAGAGGTTCTGGACAGATGGTTTCCAATTGGGCCCCTGCCTCAGGCTAGCAGAGCAGAGGGTTGTCAGGGCAGGCACAGCATGCCCTCCTCCACTCTGCTAGTGTGTGGGCTGCGGGCAGGTCCCTGCGCCACTCCTCTCCACCCCCCTCCAGCCCTTTGGCCTTGCCTGGGTGACCTGCATGAGCTCAACTTCCCAGCAGCCCTGCAGAGGAGTCAGCCTGGGCAGAGGCTGTCTCTGCCCTCTCGCTGCTTGGCAGTGCCAGGGGAGGAGGAGCCACGGAGGGGTGGGGGAGCCTTCCAGCCACCAGACCTCTGGTCATGTCCCCCAACTCTGGCACCCCTAGGGTCTTCTGCAGAGACCCAGGCTGGGACGGGTAGTGTGGAGCTGGGCACGCTGGCCGGGCAGTCCCTGTTGCCGCAGCCTTGTTGAGCTGCCATTAACAAGTGGCCGGAGGTTGCTGTGTCTCCATGGAGACCAGACAGTTAGTGCAGCTCCGGGGTGAGGGCCATGATTAGTGAGTGTCAGCTTTGCCAGCCCTGCTCTTCCCACCGCCTGCCCGCCGCTGGGCTCAGAGACAACAGGCCTGGCAGGGGGATGGGGAAAGACTGGGAGGGGGCTCAGGGCCCTCACAGGCAGGGGGGCTCCCAGGCCCACCCCCAGGTGCTTCGTCTTTGTCTCCCCCAGTGGCTCCTCAAATCCCCCTCCTCTAGTCTCCCACCTTCCCTCCCCAGTCCACCTTCCATATAGCCACCAGGGTGAGCTTTCGAAAACACGAGCTGCATCCTGACACTGCCTTCCTTTAGAACTTTCCATGGCTCCCTGTCTCCTGGAGGCTAAGAGTCAAATTTTTTATTATGGTGTTCAAGAAATTCATTCATTCATCACTTATTCATTCAACAAATCTTTCTGGAGCACCTACTATGTGCCAGAAAGCCTGTCAGGTACACATGGTCAATAAAACCAGTGAGATTCCTGCCTTCAAGGAGCTTCCAATCTAGCGAGGAAGGCACACTGAAAATAAAATACAAATCAAAGGACACATGATTACAATCGTGAGGGTTGGAAGGAAGTGGAGAGAGTGCGTTGGGAGAGAATAATTTGTAGGGGAGGCAGCCTCGTTAGAGTGGTCAAGGTGGCAGCATTTGGACAGAGTCACAGACACTGCTGAGGATCCATCAGCATGCACAGCATCCCAGGAGGGAAGAATAATCCAAGAAACGGTGTGGGCCAGGGCCCCAGTCTCCTTCCAAGGGAAGGCTCTGCCCTGCCCCTCTGCCCGGGCCTATTCCTCCCTCCTTCCCTCCATCTCTCCCTCCAACCCCCTCCTCCATGGTTCCTATCTTGGTTAGAGGCACAGGACTTATCCAAGTGAAGAAAAAAAAAAACCTCTGAGTCATCGCCAACTCTTTCTTCTCTCTCCCCGTGTTCCCCTCTCATGAATCCTGGGTTCTGTCAATTCTTCTCTCCTGCTGTGTCTCTTGTCTCCTGCTGCCACTGTAGACCCCGTCACTTTCACTCAAACTATCACACCTGCTCCAACAGGCTTAGCCATTCCTTTGTCCCCTCCCCATCATGGATTGAGGCTCCAGGCACTATGCCTTAGGGCCTTGGAGATACAGCAGTGAGCAGTGCCACACAGTCCCTGCCCTTGGCCAGAGTCCAGTCAGTGAGGCAGGCAGGTGGGCAGGTCTGCAAACACAGAGGAGGAGTAAGTAGGAGGACCTAATCTAGACTGGGAGGGTTGTCTAGTAGAGCTTCTGGGTGGAAGTGCTGGCTAAACTGAGACCTGAAGGTAGATAAGGAGTTAGCCAGGCAAAGGCAGGGGAACAATCCTCTAAGCAGAGGCAAGAGCACCTGGGAAGGCAGGAAGTTGGAGAGGTCCGAGCCTAAGCCAGGGCTGGTGGGAGCAGGCTCAGATCTGCTCCCCGACATCCAGGCTCTCCTCTTCCAGTTCACACTCCACAATGAGCTTAGAATCATCTTTCTAAAATAGGAGCAATCCTGTCCCTTCCCAGCCCTTAAAATTCTGCTCTGTCTCCCCAGTCCTTTAAAGTCTGCGCTCAATAGCAAGGCACACGAGGCCCTCAAAACTGCCTTTCCAGCCTCATTTCCTACCACTCCTCTCAGCCAACTATGTGTCCAGCCACACCCAAACAGGTCATATCTTCCATAGCCCTGGGCCTTGTCCACAAAATACATTCCTCCTGGAATGCCCTCCCCCTCTTCTTCAGGTGAACTCTTCATTCTTCAGAGCTCAACACAGATGTTCCCTTTCTCCAAGAATCCTCTCTGGACCCCTCTTCCCAGCAAGAATAAGTTTCTCTTCTATGCGCTATTATAATTTATTATTTATTTATTTATTTTTGAGACAGAGTCTTGCTCTGTTTCCCAGGCTGGAGTGCAGTGGTGGTATCTCGGCTCACTGCAAACTCAGCCTCCCAGGTCCAGGCCATTTTCTTGCCTTAGCCTCCTGCATAGCTGGAATTACAGGTGCACGCCACCACACCTGGCTAATTTTTGTATTTTTAGTAGAGACGGGGTTTTGCCATGTTGCCCAGGCTGGTCTTGAACTCCTAACCTCAGGTAATCCATCCGCCTTGGCCTCCCAAAGTGCTGAAATTATAGGCGTGAGCCACCACGCCAGGCCTATGCCCCATTACATTTAATTCCAGCTAGCTAATTCTCACTGAATGCTTCTTTCTATGTGTTAGGCTTTACATAAGCATTCCATGTTCGTGTTCGTATTTAATCCTCATGGTTATATTATAAGAAAGTATCTCGTCATGACTCCCATTTTGCTTATGTGAAACTGAGGCTCAGAAAGGTTAAGTGACTAGGTCAGCTCACAAACGTAATCAGCTATAGAGCTGGGATTTGAACCCAGGCAATTTGTTGCCACAGTTTATATGCCTAATCCTTATTCCACACTGCTCTACAGTAAGGTTTTCTAGCAATGTATTTGCCTCTGCCACCAGACTAGCAGCACTTGGAGGGTAGAGTCCAAGACTGATTGATCCAGGGTCCCCAGGGCCCAGCACATGGCTCCACACACAAGTTGCGGTGTGCAGATGTGTGCAGAATGAATAAATACCTTTAGCTAGAATGCTGCCAGAGGGTGAGATGGGCTTAGAGGTTACTTAGGGCAAATTGAGCCTCCGTATCCTGTGTGGGTCTGGTCATTATCCTGGGACAGATACCATGCCCACTCCAGCACCTTGCTTCTGGCACAGCCCCAAAAAGAATCTGCTGGTGACCTTGGGATTTCCATCCCTGGGCCAGCAGCCCCTTTGGAGTCAGACAGATTCAGCTTGGAGTCTCAGTTCTCCCCTTAGATATAGCAAGTGACTTCACCCCTCTGAGTCTCAGCTCTTCATCTTCAAAATGAGCTCAAGAGTACCTGCCTTTCAGAGTTGTTGTGAAGATAATGAATGGCAGCCATTTTTACTATTTCCCAAGTGTCAGCTCTGTGCTGTGCCAGGATTTGTCACTTACTCTTAATTAGTACAGACCTTAGGCTCAGGCAACTGTGGAGACAGGGGCCCCAGTGTTTTAGAAGGCCACCCTAGCCCTCCTCCACTAGGTCCCTCCCCATGGAGTGAGGAGTCAGAGAGGCCAAGAGGACATACCCACTGGAGCCCACCCCTACCCACTTCTAGACCACCTCTGAGTACCCAGCATCCTAAATTTCGCTGAGCTAGTTTCCAGGGCCTGGGTGGGCCCTTCCCTCATCCAAACCACACTTCCAGGGTAGATTCCTAGGCCTGAGGGGTGGCCAAGGGCAGCAGGCGTGGGTGGATACAGCTTGACATGCAGGCAATGGAGCAGGCAGGGAATGTGGGAGGAGAAGGGCCTTTGGCGTATTTCTTTTTTTTTTTTCTTTTTTTGTGAGACAAGGTCTAGCTCTGTCACCCAGGCTGGAGTAAGATGACTGGCTTATTTTTGTATTTTTCATAGAGACGGGGTTTCACCATGTTGCCCAGGCTGGTTTCGAACTCCGGGGCTCAAGTAATTCACCTGCCTCAGCCTCCCAAAGTGCTGGGATTACAGGGGTGACCACCTTTCCTGGCCTCCTGCTATACTCTTATTAGGGACCAGTTTGCCCTTACTAATCTTAACAAATGCCCTGAAAGGCAGGAATTATTATCCCCATATTATCTTCTATCTATCTATCTATCTACCTACTATTCATTATCTATCTAATCTATCCATTTATTTTATTTTTTAGAGACAGGGTCTTGCTCTGTCACCCAGGCTGGAGTGCAGTGGTGTGACCATAGCTCACTGCAGCTTCAAACTCCTGGGCTTGCTTTATTAGGCAAAACTAAAAAAAGAAAGAAAGAAAAAAACCAAAAAACTCCTGGGCTCAAATAATCCTCCCACCTCAGCCTCCTGAGTAGAGGCTTTTTTTTTTTGTATTGATGGGGTCTCACTGTGTTGACCAAGATGGTCTCAAACTCCTGTACTCAAGTGATTCTCCTGTACAAAGTGCTTGGATTACAGGCATGAGCCACTGAGCCCAACCTTGCCCCATTTTATTTTATTTTATTATTATTATTATTATTATTATTATTATTTTGAGATGGAGTCTAGCTCTGTCGCTCAGGCTGGAGTACAGTGACACGATCTCAGTTCACTGCAACCTCAGCCTTCCAAGTTCAAGTGATTCTCCTGTCTGAGCCTCCTGAGTAGCTTGATTACTGGAGTGAGCCACCATGCCTGGCGCCCCATTTTATTTTATTTATTTTTTATTTTTGAGACAGAGTCTCTCTTTGTTGCCCAGGCTGGAGTGCAGTAGCATGATTTCCGTTCACTGCAACCTCCACCTCCCAGGTTCGAGTGATTCTCCTGCCTTGGCCTCCCAAGTAGCTGGGACTACAGGCACGTTCCACCACACCCGACTAAATTTCCTGTTTTTAATGGAGAAAGGATTTCACCGTGTTGGCCAGGTTGATTTTGAACTCCTGAACTCAAGTGATCCTCCCACTCTGGCCTCCCAGAATGCTGGGATTACAGGTGTGAGCCACTGTGCCTGGCCCTAGAGCCCCATTTTAAAGATAAAGGAACTAAGGCTCATCCAGAGGAGTGACTCCAAAGCCTATTCAATTTACTGTCTCTGAGGAGGCTTTAGATCTAAATGTTTTACATATATTATCTCATTTAATCCTCACAATGATTCTATGATGTAATGTTATTATCTCACTTTTCAGATGAGACTGAGGTACAGAAAGGTTAAGAAACTTGCTTAAGAATGCATAGCTCGTGAATGGCAGAACTGGGAGTTGAACCTTGATAGTCAAGCTCTTAACCCTGGGCTCTGTTGACTATTACCATGATCATAGTGGTAAGTCAGTTCCTTAACTAGTCTAGCAACCCCCTTCCTCAAACATCTGCCTGAGGACTGGAATACAGTGAAGGTGCTCTGGGTGCACTCTGGGTGAAAAGCCAGAAAGAGGTAGAAATGGAACCCAACCTGAAGGCATCTGGGCAGGATGTGTGGAAGGAGCTAGGGACTGGGGCTTGACTGTACTCTCCTCACTGTCCTATAGTACCAGGACAGCTGGGCAGGGCCCTGGGGGCCATTCAGAGAGAGGGCCCTCTGGCCTGAGCCTGATACTATGCCCTCCTTCCCAGCCTGTGGCCTGAGAAGATGGCGCTTTCCCAGGACCAAGGCAGAGGCTGTCCCCCCCCACACTTCCCCTCCAAGGCCCAGCTGTGAGGCGCCTGCCCAAGCTCCCCCCAGCCCCGCCTCTCCCAGTCCCTGGCCAAGCTGCTGCTGCTGTGGTCACCTGGACCCAATTTTCTTCTTCCTGCCTCCTCCCATCTCTGGGAAGCACCCCTCGGTTGCCCTGCCAATTTCCAGTCTTCTCCCCCAGGAAGCCACCTCTGTCATCCCCCCAGTACTACTCCCAGGTCCCCTACCCCTACATGGAACACTCAGGCTCTGTCCTTTCAACCTCACACGCAGAGAATCACTTGGACCCTTAGCCCATTTTCCATTTGGTTCCTGGCTGAACATTGGTTCCCCCAGCCAAACTGTGAGTTCCCTTTCCCAGGGCGGTATCACTTCCTGTGCTTCCCTCTCCCACAACAGTGCCTGGCAGGGAGGAGCCCAGAGCCAGAGAGATGCCGGTACACCAGGAACTGAGCCCCAGCACTCAGAGGCTTAGAGGCAGCATGACTATGCTTCAAGCTTTTGAGACCAACCTCCCCGTCACTTGCTAAATGGAAAACCCAAGAGGCCCAGGAACGGGGAGGGGCTTTTGCCTAAGGTCACCCAGAAGCGCTAGGTTTCAAATCCAGGTCTTCTGACTCTCAGACCCACATTTCTCACACTATGTGAGATCAAGTTTCCAACCCTCCCAGGTCCTCCTCATTTTCAGACAGACAACAGAATAGTGCCCGACAATGTACTGTCAGAAACTCAGGGGTTAATTCTGCCCCAAGGGCCATTATCTGGAAAAGTCCCAAAGAGATTAGTCAATCACCCTCCACTCCCATCTTTTTTTTTTTTTTTTTTGAGACAGAGTCTCACTCTGTTGCCCAGGCTGGAGTGCAGTGGCAAGATCTCAGCTCACTGCAACCTCTGCCTCGTGGTTTCAAGTGATTCTCCTCCCTCAGCTTCCCGAGTTGCTGGGATTACAGGCACATGCCA